AAACTTGTCGAAGCAGCGTAACTAACTGGCCTCCTGAAAACTAGCAACGGCTGTCGGTCTGCCTTTGTATCCAGAGTCCATCCATAACTTTGTGTCGCTTTATATACTGAAAATATTTTAGTAACCATTCTGTGTCCTGAGAAAGTAGGACATATTTTCATCTCAGCGACTCACAAAAGGGAGCGGTGAGGTTACAGGAAGGGGACATAGAGCTTGTATAACTCGTTTACGATCACACGTAGGGAGAGGACACAAAGAGATGAGCTTAATTATTCATATAACAGCAGGTCACTTTAATTAATTATCTAGCTTGTTTGTGTAGGGTAGACATATGGGGAACTAAAACTTTTAGAGGAAAACGCATTCCGAGCCACAGGGTTAGTTCCACAATAATTTATTCAGAAAAGGGTGGCCACACGTTGTCATTGACAAATTATCCATCTCCAAAAATGTCTGGGGGGGCGGACGTATTGTTTACTTAGCAGTCATAGTTCAAGCTGCTTAGAAGTTTCAGAGTCCATCAGTTGGCATCCTGCTGATTGTTGGTGCTGTCACTGAGATAGTAGGAAAATGCCCATAATTCCAGATGGTTAAGAATTGCTCATCAGGCTTCTGAGTATCTTAAATATTTCTTTTTCGTTAATGGCAAGTCACAATGAAATAACACCTGTGAGGACACTTGGAATTTGAATTCAAACTACCAAAATTTACTACCAAGCCTCGAATAGGTTGAGATCACAAGATAAATAAATAAATAAATAAATTTATTCTCATAGTACAGTACATGAGGGACGCCAGTTTACAGGCATCATCAAATTGTTACAGAAATAGAACCATATAATTTAATCACAATTTACAGCCAGTAGCAAGATATGCTTTACATGTTCGATAGAGATTATACATACACTTGATAAATGTTAATTCCAGTAGTATAAAACAGCCTTTTCACTTATATACAATCATTTCTGTGCAAAGTTGGAAAAATCTGCTAGATTGTCAGTGAGTGCAACACAACAGGAAATACAGGAGTATTGTCTTCGCATTAACAAAAAAACCAGGTCTTTGGTGGATGGATTATAAGTGCCTGGGAAAAAAATAAAGCTTGAAGTAAATATTCATACATAACTTTGTTGTGTGCAGAGTCCTCGAATTATAGTTCATTGATGTGTTATTTTGAAATCAGTGATGTGTTTATCTCATTTGATTTGCAATGTCATTGTTGGGAGTAAGTACATAAGCTTCGGACGCATTAATTAATGGATTTCTACTGATTACGGGTATTTTCTTAGCGTTAGGAAGGTTTATGAGTTTCAGCTGTTCCGACAGGAGTTGAGAATATTAACTGCTCAGCAACATTATGGGTATAAGTTCATCACATTATCTAAGGAAAGGTGGGTTGCAGTTGGTGAGGGATATATGGTACCCAACGAGCGTTCATCTGTCCTTGTGATGTTGTGGTGAGTTATACCTTTTTCATGTTGTCGGTTTATGTCCATTTTATTCCACTTATTGTGTTGGGTAGTAGTTTTACAAACGAGATTTGTTGTCTGTTTGAGGATACGTATGTTAACCGTTAATGTTTTATCTAGAATTATAAATATAGGCAAAAAACAACAGGTGTAGTATTTAAGCTTATACATTAAATGGACCTATAATTTCGGAGGCTCTCAGATAGGAACTAGAACTAATATCGTTTGCAAACTCTTGTAGTTTGTCATTAAGCACCTTTTTGAAGGAGGCCAATGTACTTGCTTGACGCATTTCCATTGGCAGTTTATTCCATATCTGTGCATACCTAATCAAGTAAAACTTTTGCCTGGTGGCTGTTTTACATTGTTCGATAGCTACTGTACCCTTAGTGTGTCTTAGTTTGTAGCCATTGTCATCTGAAAGTCGAGTGCCATTAGTAGAGGTAAAAACTAAGTGGTTTAGAAGCTTATAGTAAAGTGTCAAGTTTAGTCTCAGGCGTCTTAGCCATAGTGTTTCTAGTCCTAGGGTATCACATCTAGTGGAGTAGTTCGTACCATTTCCGGTTCCGAGTAATTTTAACGTGAAGTACCTCTGCACTCCCTCGACTTTCAATTTGTCCTCTATGCGTATGCTACTATACACGAATGAACAGTAATCAAATAAAGGACGCACACAGACCTTGTACAACAGAATTCTAGACTCATTTCTGTAGAAGTTCCTGAGTAGAAAGCCGATAAGTCTGCGTGACTTTGACACTTGTTTGGAGATGTGTTCAGAAAATGATAAGTTATGTGAATATTTCAGCCCTAGGTCCAGTACAGATTCCAGTCGTTGAAGTGCATGGCCTTGAATTGTCAGGTCAAGTTCTAAATTGTTGCAACCTATGCAGAGCCAGCCACATTTTTCGACATTAAATTGGAGTTTCCAGGTGTCACACCATCTATCCATTTTTTCTAATTCTTGCTGTATGGCGTTTACTGTTATTCCAAGATCTGTGTTCTTGCATTTATACGTCACTTTTAAGTCATCTGCATATAGTATTGGTTTACCTACACTAAAGCATTCACAGATACTGTTTATATATATTATGAATAAGAGTGGGCCTAATACACTTCCCTGGATTACACCACTACTTACTGGTTTAGGCCTTGAGATTATCGAGCCAACTTTCGTTGTCTGACTTCGGCCGCAGAGAAATGATTTTATCCAGCTCAGGAGAGGATCACATATCCCTAGTGAGCATAGCCTGCTGACTAGCAGATTATGGGGAACTCTGTCGAAGGCTTTTGTTATATCGAAATAAAGCACAATTACTAGTTCTCTGTTGTCCCTACTTCGTGTAACTTCGTTGAAAAAGTCTATGTGACAGGTCACGCATGATCTCTTTTTGAGAAATCCGTGTTGTGATGGATTGATAAGTCCATGTTCTAGTAAGCTGTCTGACACTTGGTCTTTAACCACTTTCTCCATTATTCGGGATATTACCGGTGTTATATTGATAGGTCTATAGTTGCATACACTGGTTTTGGCCCCTGCTTTGTGCTTAGGTAATATGTATGTGGTTTTCCACACTTCAGGATAAGTTCCAGTTTCTAATGAGAGAGTAAATATTCTAAGTAACAAGACTACCATTTCCGTGCTACCATTTTTGTACATGACAGATGGTATGTCATCTGTTCCAGTACTACCGTTAGACTTCAAAGTCTTAATCGCTGAGTCTATATTTTGTATATTAAAGTCTATTCCGCCTAATTTGTGGTTGCTTTTGCAAGTCATTTGGAAATTTGGGGTTGGGTGCACTCTGGCGTCATTGCAAAACCACTCATTGAGGAGTTCGCTTATAACCTGGGGATCATTGTGTATTATACCCTTATGCTCCAAGCTGCTTACAGTATTGTCTTTACTACTTTTTAGACGTCTCTGCAATATCCTACAAAGTTCCTGAGTTTTGGAGTTACCCACAAGCGCTTTATTTTCTTCAAGTTGTGACCTCATTTTGTGTTTCTCTTCAAGCCGTTTAAGAGTTTCATGTATTTGGTTTAACGCATTAAATTCCTTAAATACATGGTATTTCCTTTTCAATTTCTTTAGTTTTAGTCGCGTTTTGCGGTCGATAAATGGAGTTGGTGTCTTTAGAGCAGATTTTAGGGGCGCGATTATGTCTCTTGCTGAGCCAATTGTTTTGTAGAAAATATCGAGTGATACTTCTAAGTTATTGTTAATGAAGTATTCTTCCCAGTCAGAACTTCTCAGCAGATCTGATAGGAATTCCCAATCGGTATTCTTATAGTCCCTATACTGATAGTGCACCGGGGAATTTTTAGGTGTGTGTTTAGTTGTTAGTCGGAATGGTAGCGTGCAGTACAATATGTTGTGATCACTGTTATCAAGTTTATTTCCTACCTCTATCGAGATGGGCTCAATTTCATGACAAAGGATTAAGTCAAGAGTGTTTTCATTTCTTGTAGGGAGGCGTACGCACTGCTTCCATCCGCCTACGTCTATAGCTTGTAGTAGCTCGTCATGGATTCTAGGTCCTGTACAGGTATCCCAGTTTACTCCAGGTAGGTTGAAATCGCCACAAACTACTTTGTAGTCAAAGTCCAGCGTAGCTGCATGCTCTAGTATTTCTCCAATAGCTATATCAGTCATTTCAGGGCTATTAGGGGGTCTGTATAAACATCCCACGAGAATTTTATTTTCGTTTGTGTGGATGCTTATCCACTTAGATTCAGGGAGTTTGTCAGTAGTTGGGTTATTGAAAGTATTGGAGTTAGTGGATTTAAAGGCATATATTAAGCAGCCGCCTCCTCTTTTGTCAACTCTATCGTTCCTATAGATGTCGTAGTTGTCTATTACTAGCTTTGAGTCAGGTATATCAGTAGTAAGCCAGGTTTCAGTCACCATTATTAGTGTTGGCCGTTCTATGTATGCCAGGCAGCGAAGCGATGTTATTTTGTTAAGGAGGGATCTAGCATTCAGGAGCATAATCGTTAGTAAACCAGAGTTATTGGGGGAGAGGTTAACATGGTTACTTGTTACTATTCCTACGTTATGTTTGGAGGGGCTCTGAGGTGAGACAGAGTCAGTGTGTGTACTATTTCCTGGATGAATTGTGCAGCTAGTGGGGCTATTGTTTGCTGCATCCGAAAATAATCCTGTTGCATGTTTTGACTTTTAGCATCCATGGGTGGGAGTAGTGTTTAGCTGAATACCTACTTACGCTTCCTAAAAAAAGCAGTATTTTACTGTAAATATCATCTTAAAGGCGTTAAATATCATGTTATAGTTACCTTAGCTCACAGAAGAAGAACATGAAGCTTCAACAGGTGTGAAGCAGAGGTATCGTTCAGAGTACTATTATTTTTCAGATGATTATTGCTTCATAAACAGCTTCATTACAGACCTCAACGCTGGCTCTGCACATATATTCATGAATAACGGATTTCATTACATATATACAACTATTTCACCTAATGTATCGATTGCAACGTTATTTGTTTTTATCGGTCCTCATGAAGACTCTCGCAGAGTATTTGAAAGTGTTCGTCACAGCTGACGTCTTTTCTCTTTGTTCTCGGACTACTGAGCGACTACCGCGTTTACATTCTAATAAGTCAAATCCAAAACACTTAAATTACCATTTATACCAAAATTTCACGTTTTTACTCGATAAAAAATAATACTCTGCTCACATATAAAAAAGATGGCAGCCCAACCAGAAACCCTTAAATTTAGTCCACAATGGATAAGGGATTTATCAGATGGTGCATTTAATTCTAGAAGACATTCAAGTCGGAGTCCAACCGAAGATGTCATTTCGAGCAGGTGTCCTGTGTCGTCCTCAAATCATATGCAAAAACACTCGTCTAAAAGCACAGATGTTTCTAGCTTGGCTCGTGGGGATAGAAAGAAAGGTTTAAGATGAATTTAGTTTATTTGTTTCTGTAAGATTTGGTTTCAGATAATGTCGGACAGCCCGTATGGTCCGGAGAGTCTATACGTTCTACTGAATCGGGATGCGAGGCAGATAGGTATGTTGTGTCACTGGATAAATAACGTAAATCTCTTGGTGTTAGACTTTAATCCAGTTCTTTGAAGTAGTAATAGCATGTTGTATCTTAAGGCCTTGTATAGACGTCTGGTTTATGAAATTCACCTGTGTTAGGGTTAGACTCTACTTGCATTTTTCTTTTCTGGTGGCCGGGAAACGTTTGTACTCATGCCACCCCTCAGATATTTGATAGAGCTAATTTCCATCTTCTCTGCTGTTTCTTGTGAAGTGCCCATGCACTAATACCTTAAATATAGCGTACTGGTTGGCTTCCTCGCCACTTACTTTCTTTTATAGTAGGTTATATATGGATACCAGCTGCCTTTGAGACAGTATAATTCACCGTGTCTAATTGCAGTATCTTACGACTAGCATGATTATCTGGCGTATCCATATGCACTTATCACTACGTAACAGTATACTGCACTTCTTGAGTAACAATGGCGACCAAGTGAAGTTAAAATACAGGCACATGATATAACAAAATTAAAAGCATACTGAAGAATCTGAGAGTAAACGTGAGATTTAACTATTTGATTGCAATCAGTTTTGGCTTTTCGCTCATGTGGTCATTCGCTCACCCACAATATGAGTATTTACACTTCGTTAACATCCATATTCCTAGAATCTCCAGTTCATCTGACTGTTATTTGCTGTACATCTTCATCCATGGTTACACTACATTTTCCTCTACTTTAGTTTTTCGAAGTGTATTTCGAAATCCTGTTCTGTTTGCTCCTTTTTGTAGAGCTCCAAAATATGGCAAGTTAAACCGGTGGATTTCAGTTAAAAATGGCTGTCGGATTGTGTGTGTTGAAGTCGGAATTTCCCAATCCAGCCTTATATTTGCGAATCCGTATCGTCATTTTGTTATTCAGCAGGTCGGTTAGGGAAAATCAGTTATTTATTCCTATCACGCTAATGCCTGTGTAAACCAAACTAAGAAATCCTGATTTGGAATACGTAAAATATATCTGAAGTATCCTCTAATCGTCCGTCATATCAATGACTCGTGTTACAAGTGTACCATTTGCATACTTTCAGTCTATCGGGGGATTTCTTACATGGGAGTCGATCCTCAGAAGACCCATCTGTTGTAAGTCTGATAATAATTAAACTAAGCGTTGTCAGAAAGTCCCAAAGATGCTACCGTCTTTGAGTTTTCTCCTCATGAAATCTAGTGGAGCTTTAGAGGTTTTTATGCGAAATGTGTCCTAGCACCTACCTTTATAGGGAAAACCCACTACAAACATGTTATCAAGCCTTATTGTCTGTTGGTCCTCTGTGATTGTCAGAGTTTGGCATATCTTTGATATCTTCCACCTCATACTGGCTTTGAATTCCTGTATCAATAGAAACATTGTGAGGAAAGATGAAATAAAATGATAGGACGATAAATAATGAAAGGACAAAGCAAATAGCATAATCCATTCGCGATAGTTAGTAAGGACAGAACTGGTGGGCATGGAAAAGACAAAGTTGATAAAAATACCCAAGCAACAGCAACAAGCAATAATCACCATCGATAATAGAAATCTAGAGCAAGTCGCCTCCGTCGCTTACCCAATCTAAACAGCATCGTTTCAACTACCGGCGGCGACAAGTAAAAGGACTTCACAGCCATCCAGGGTCGGAGAACAAGACAGGTCTTAATCAGTCTGTTACTCAGCACGTGGAACAAGATCAAAGATTTTACTCCTAGTATTGTCATTGCTTCTATACAGTTCAGAGAACTAGCGCATCACCAAAAGCGTTTCCAGAAGGCCGTAAGCCTTCATCATCGGGTACCTTTGTCTAACACTGCAGATCAGATGATCACCCAGAATGGATAAGCAAGAAGGAAACACGGCAGGTAACGAACCAGCCATCCAAGAGTCTATAGCCTTACGAATATGTTAAAGGGAATGGAAATGGATTGGACATACGGTGAAGAGACATTCAAGTGACATCACACTAGGTCGTTGAGTGTAGGGCAGATGGGAGGCGACGGATTGGGCACAGAAGGGTTATATGAGGGAGGTCATGTAAAGGGGGAATGAAAACTTGTGGGCAGTCGTGGGGGCAACCTAAAAGCAGCAGAGAACAGAATGCTGTAGAGATATGCTGCTTAGTGATACATTCTGCATATAAGGAACAAATAGTATTGATACAGTGGGCTGAGTTATCTTACCTAAATTTCCGTTTCAGTCTAGTTTCTTGAGCTGTAGTCTACTTTGCTCTAAGCGTCATCACTAACTCCCAGTTACTCATAGTTAGGCCACCTGTACCATTTTTGTGACTCGGTCATTTAACGGGGTTGTTGGTGTTGGCATAGGTTGATGATTCCGTGTGTGTAAAATCAGCTACCTAACATAAACTGACATTTAATCACTTGATTATAAAAATAGATTGCTGGGCAAACTGTTGACACTTGATGACATTTTTTACTTTTGAAAACATCTGCTGATATAGCATCATTATTGTTAGTGGAATATCGGATAATCATGAGGAGCGTATTCACCAGGCTGTGCCTTTAGGCGCATCTTTCTTGGTGCCATATTGTACCAAGATTTTCCTGCGTTTAAATAATAATAATAAAATCATAAGGTAACTACTTTGATTTATATCCAGTGTTTCCCAAACTTTTTGTGTTGAGTAACACTGTTGTGTGAAAATACAACTGAGGGCTTGACTGACAGCAAAATGTTCAAACTTATCCCAGGTCTATAGATATTCACGATATATATATATATATATATATATATATATATATATATAAAGCTCTACACTTCAGTACTTATGCACTGGAGTTCTTTAGCAGGCCATTACACCCAAATTTTATAGTAGACGACAAAATAAATTAGATCGTGATACATTACTGATCTAAATACTAACCTAAGCCTCTTAAATCCATAGAATTTATGAAATTACTACTTGTCAAACTGTACAAAGTGGGATTCCTTCCAAACAATAGGTTAGATGAATCATTCACTGAAATAAGTCAGATGCTGCATTATGTAGACTGGTAAATAAATTTGCCTGTCCATATCAATACTTGTAAACTGGCATCTGGCGGAAAGTTAGTTCATCTCAGTTGATTTTACATTGAGTGGCTTAAGGGTCTACGGTTTTGCTCTACATAACTAAGACATCTTATTTGAAATTTAACACGTAAATAGATTCCTGACTTTTGATCATTAATCGTTCTGCGTGTTTTTATTCAGACAAGGTCAGTCTTCTGGAGAGCCATCGAAACAATACTCACAATGCATGTCATCTAATTCAATGTATGCTCGAAATCGCGATGCAAACCAAGCTGTTAATTCTACCAGTCAATGTGATGATGTCAGCAAGCACTCGGTACAGTGGAGCAATAAGTCAACTTTAATCCCCCCTGAACCGTGTTGGCACATGCACTCGGATTCGACAGATGTTATGCTGGTATGTTTAGAGTACTACCTTTCGATATGTGGTTTGGTTGCACAGTGACATACTTTCATGAAGACTTAAAATAACTTGTTTTCATTTTGAAATCATATCGGAATCAAAAGCGAATATGTGAATTCAGTTAACAATTATAGTTCAAAGTTATACCATATTTCATGTACCGGTCCCACTCGTTGATGTGGAATATCCCGACGCGTTTATTCCTAATGTTAATTAAAGTGTTTTGGATGAGATAATTTTTCGACTAAAGATGTCATAACTGGGATTTTGTCTTCAAAGTCTTTACCTTTTCCTCTGCAAACCGTGGAAAATTAAATTATATATTGCTCATTGGAGTTTAGAGGTAATTCAGAAAAAAGTTTATTTCACCATATTCTTTTGAACTATTGGCTAGTCACATAATGTGCAGTGGGCTTATAGCCTTGATTGTTGGAGATATTTACTAGCGAATTTTTTGTAGTGTAGCTCTAGTGTTTAATTTCGATGTATGAAATGACCATCTTGAGTTTGATGGTTTGAATAGACATCAATTGTAAAGATTTGAATTACCTTAAGGGTAATTACTTCTAATTTTGTATCCCCATATTTCGATATTACTGAAGTTTCTATGTGTTATTGGACATTTTTTCTACGGAAAAATGAATTTTAACGGTAGTGTAATCAGTGTTTTAAAACATTCACATGTACTTAAACGTTGAGTTGGTTATCTGTTAAGCTCTTCTTAATTGTATGCAGTAGTCAATTTTAAGGGAAATATCCGTAGCTTTGAAAAGTATAGTATTGCATTCTGTTGTTGTGTTAAAGCATAAGAATTAAGACGCTAGGATTGCGGATTTACAAAAGACTTCAGACACGGTTGTCGGCTGAAATCGTTCTCAGTACCTTCAATATGAAATTTCACCTTCATAGACCGTTCATTGTATATTTGAATCCGTTTCTTTCGAATTTCGTATTCATAGTTATATGCTCAAGTTTGGTGAATATTTTTGGGAAATACAAAGCTTGCAAAAGCAAAAACTTGTCTTGCTGTTAAGTGTTCCTGTACCTGTTTCTGTTCATTTCTTTTTTACAACTTTTTCAGCCCAGCAAAACAGGGGATCCTATTCGTTTGGGCACATCAGCTCATTCTGTTTCCTCACCAAGTACAGGATCTTCTGAAGTGCCTTATGTGGGGTCTTCTATTCTTTCTGGGAACCCATCACTTGTAAACAATGCTACGTTGAACATAACCCCTAACCCACTTAATGATGTTATGGCAGTTTCACAGTCATATGGCAATAATAATACTGATCCATATGGTCAAGGTAAACGGGCTGTTAGTGCTTATTATGGAGTCAAGGATCCGGAAAAGGTAAGCTTTCAATGTCATACAGCATATTCAATGGATGCAAACATATCACGTAAGAGAACCTTGCCTAAGCTAATCTGGCAAATATGCAATACTACATGCTTCTTTGTATTTCTACTTCTATGCAGCAAATACGAATGTATTTCTTGTAGAAACCAATGGTCTGATAATTTATAGTCCTTATGGAACAAATAGCTTTCGGGGTTGAAACTACTCCATTACTGTATGTTTTTCTTCTGGTAGAAACGAATGTGAGGGTTGCAGTGACCTCCACAAAAACAGCTTCACTTAAATTAGTCACAAAGTATCACGTTACTGTTGGATATTTTGTGATAGACTTTTTGCTATTAAGATTGGCCGAAATGTTTTTATACTTTCGGGTCATTAGTAGCAGGTACTTATTATGAATAAGAAAGCGAGATAAGGTGAGTTTATACTAATCAAGAACTTGAAAAAGCGGGATGTAGTATGTAGTATAAATTGGTGGGTCTGTCGTGCTTGATTGATTTGCTTTCTTGTACTGCAGTCAGAAATGTGAAAGCATTCGGGATTCAGTAGCTTACATACACTAATATAATTGCTAATGTTGGTCGGCTGAAATACTCGACAGTATCTACCCCAAAACCACAAAATTAGGAAAATTTAGCATAAGAGTTTATTTTCATAGCTAATTTATTATTGGTAAAAGCAGGGTAGATTATACTGCCAGTGGCTTGAATGTTATGAACTAGTTTTACAATGTGATCAATTGTGATTGAGTTTTAGTGACATCATATAAGTTCGGGAATTGTTGTATTATGTCATTGTATATTAATTTATTTATTGGGTAGTACTTTCTCACTGTCTGATATATCCAATAAACAAATTTCTGAGTTTAAAGTTATGTCTCTGCTGTGACTCTGGCTGGTAAGATTAAACATTCGATTTTCAACTAGTGAGTCATAAATCCGACCGGCGCTGTCATTGGATCAACTTTTTTATTGTTCCATATATTATTTGCATGAATTGTAGTTTGCATTCATTTTAAACACATTTCAAACTGCCCCTTCATTTGAGGTGTGTTGATTCACAAGACTCTTTTAGAAAATGAATGGATTCATATCGCACTGTAACAGTAACTTGGTTTCAAAATCTTTCTTTCAGATCTTGGACTCCAGTATGAATCCAAATACAATTTGGATGCAACAGCATATATGGTCGAAATCAGTTCCGCAGCATTTACATGGTCTTAATCCTACTGATTCTGTATCTAACTCAGTATCGAATTTTTGTGGAGTTTCTACTACAGAAACAAATCGTCATACAAGTTCAAGTGTTCCTGATGTCGACCAAATACACAATTTCTTCCCAAGACTACCTGCATTTGATAGAGTTGTTCAGTCTAATTCGAATCATCCGTATTCAATGGTAAGAAGAGAATAGTTAACAGTTAAATTCGAAAAAATGAATTGATTTTACCCATATGGATTTATGGCAACTTGATTGATTCCATAGTTTGTTGTCCGCTGTAGTTTTATTTGAATATTACAAAAAGAAATCAGCAAAGTGGATCCTGAAAATAAGTTTGCATTATGACTTCTGATGCTCATAGAGAGAAACATGAGCGGTGGCGCATCTTTCAGAATCTGAAAGTCCTCATTATTCTCTGTCTAGTTGTTCTTTTTCTCGTACATATTCCTCTTTTGGCGCATGGTTAAATATTTTTTCTTCTGTATGTATGTATACTTTTTAGAAGTGTGACAACGTGTGTTGCTGAACCTTTGCGCAAAAGTCTTGCGCTGATAAGTTATCTAATCAAACATAGGTGGTGATTTGTGTAAATACACCCTTATATACACTTGCTCTTAATTGTAGTTTGTTTTTCTGATTTGAAGTTCTGTATTTTGGAATAGGTCTTTCCACTACTTTTGGTGTATTCATTGGTTTGCTTTCTTAAACTTTACAGAATGTTGTGACAGCATCTTTGTTTCAGTTCACCAGTTCTTGTTCCTAATGTTTCGCCTACTATGTGCTTATAATTTAGGCATAGAGAAGTACTGAGGTATGTTTCTACCGTAAATGGCACACAATTTGTCAGCTTCATATATGTATTGATAAATAGCAGACGTAATCTAGTGCCATATTATGCTAAGATATTGTCATGTTTTGTGACTGTTTTGTATGTGAATGACACTTCATTCGGTTTACAACCGGTCCATGAAGTTAATCGTTGATTAGGCGGTAAGCTTTTAGGCAGGAAAGCAAGGTCCATCGATGCGGTTGTAAATCTGCACTGACTGAGATGTGTAGGACACGTTGTACGCATGTCAATCCATTGCCTTTCCCGTCGAACAATGTTAGTCGACATGCGATTAGGTTACGAAAGAATTATGAGTAATCAAATTATAACCTGGCATTAGTATATGAGTGTGTCGGTGGCATAGTGGTTAGGACGCTCTCTGACCATGCACATGGTCCGGGGCTCGATCCCCGGCCTATGCACTCCTTTACCTCACTAAGCCAGAAATAATGCTGGTGAAGAGGAAAGGTTGGACATGAAGCTAGCAACCCCATCCTGTAAAATAAACACTGCTACAGAAACTTCAAGCCACTAGCTTGAAGCCCTATTTTCCACTGGGGAACGTGAAGGAAAAAAATATTAGTATATGAAGTCTTTGACTGCTGGTTTGAACTACTTTAGGAGTTTCAGACTGCTTGAGCAAGATCCGTGAGTTGCTAATAAAAAATGTCTAGAGACTGTTGGTGACACTGCTCACAATCGTTGTTAATCGCGCTTCGAGGCAAACAGGTATTTTGTTACTGTTATAACACGCTTCATAAGGCGCCAGTTTTATATCCATTTTCGTTGCTTTTGTTTGCAACAACTCAAAGGTTATTTATTCTCTATTATTCATCTGTTAAGTGTTTTGTGCATTAGTAAGCCACTCAAATCGCTACACGGTAATGTTATTTTGTTAAAGAATTATGGCGCATCGTTTTTAGGTTGTGGACTTAAAACCCACTTTTCCATCTTAAGTTTATGTCAGCTGTTTAGTACCAACAGCTCGCGTACCATAGATGTGCTTTGTTGTTAAGTACATGTACCTGCGCAAGGTTTCCTGCCTTGCGTCTCGATAACGTTTGTCTATACAACTTTCATTATTGGGAATTTGATTCTTTCTGTATACTCTTTTCAACAGAATAACTTGTCGTTTATACTTCATTGTGATCTTACTTTTCAGCCATCCAATACAGTCCAGAATCCATCAAATATAATGGAGGATGAAAGAGGTTTTTTGAGACCTGATGGATCAGATCACCCAGATGAACATATGTGGTTATATGAAGATCCCCAAGGTCGAACGCAAGGTAGTTTTAGTGATGCTCAGATGAATGAGTGGCTTATGGCTGGGATTTACTTTACTCCAACTCTTCGTATACGACGTAAATGTGATGACACATTTTCTACTCTAGGTAAGATAATGCTTGATTTCCTATTGCTATTGAACAATATTTCTTGTGACATTTAGTGTTAAATGACCTACTGAGCTCAGAGTGTGTATAAATATGACTTAAGTATAGCATTCTTTCACATTATCTGAATTAGCAGTAATAGCCGTATTTAAGAGAACATATATTGTAGAGTGAAAGTGTTTCATATCAGTGAAGTTTGAATAATCAATGAGTTTTTAAGGCAGAGTTGAAAGTGCGTTTTTGTCTCTTTATTTTTCGTAACAACAAATACCACCCTGTGTTGGAGACATATGTACTTATTTTCCTGTGATGTGTCACGTGTATCCCATCAAACTGTACACGTGAAGTAATCAGTCATTTCAGAAGTTGTGTGGATCTTGTTTGGCAATAGTTACGAAATATGATCAGTGATAGTAGTTATTTCTTATGTGTTATTGTTATAGTGACTCTTGATTGGTTACAACGCGTTTACACTAATAGGTGGTTAACTATTTGGACTAAAATACTTAATAAATATCTTGCATTATATTTTATCGAAATAAAAACATCGACATTTTGTTTTGCTATTCCCCCCAAATAGCTAGTTATACCCAACTATTTGAACGTGTTCCTTTTGTTCCTGGCCCTCGGATACCTCCCATCCAAGGAGGAATTAGCCAGGCTATGCTATCATTTTCTAATTCTTCTTGTTTGAACAAAATCAACGTCAAAAGCTCAGAAAATGCTCCCGTTGACTTGACATCGTGCGGTAATTCTAATAGTCACGACCACTGTGAAGGTAATCTAGTGAATCCAGGTATCATTGGGACTAATTCAGTAGATGTGAATCGTGTGTTATTATCTGAATCACAGCGCCAGTTATATCAGCATCTTACAGATTTCCAGGTAAGTTATTATTGGTTTTGATCGATGTTAGCGATTCATTTTGGGTAAATAATACGTCCTATATATAATACACGTGCCAGTTAAACTGGACGTAACGAATCCAAGCTCTGAATCATTTAGACGTATGTCTTATAGTGAATTGTCGTTTTCCATTATAGCAAAATACATTTTCATGACCACTGTAATCAGTGTCGACAATTTCTATGGAGTTCATGTTCACTTATTTTGCCTAGCTAGTGTGAACCAGACTATGAGCGATGTAAAACTCTTCCTTGTGCTTTATCCTCTGAGATATAAATTACTTGAGCATTTCATGAACAGCATTGTGTTCAGAGTTCATATGTGCCTTTCTATGTAGTTAGTATTTTTTAATTGTGACTTACAGTCCTAAGGTTAACACTTGAATTAATTACAGAGTTCTACGGAATTGACAGTTTTATCAATTTCTCAAATTTGATTTCATTTTGTAGTAATGCTTTGTTCGTATGCATGTTTTCGAAACAACTGTAATTCCCGTTACTTAAACAACATTGCCCTTATTTTGATTCCAGACAACTGCTTCTAATATCACAACCAATGCTAGTGGAACATCGGTTTCTTCATGTCAGCTTAGTGAAGAGAGTTTGCACAATATGAAACTCAGAAATCCTTTGTATGGTGTAAGTAATACATCTGCTCCAGTTAGTACACCAATCTCCTTGTTAAACAATTCGATCAGTAATCTGAGACTTGGTGATTCCACGGAAGCTGACTTTAAATCTGTATTAGACAACTCTCATAATCTACAGCAGCAAAGGCAGCCGGTGACTTCAGCCTCGAATTTCATGAACTTATCTTCTTTAGCGCAATTGAACCAGTCTTTCCCATCTTTTAATTTTCAATTACCTGTTAGACCTCAAGCTGAAAATGGGACTACTATCGACGATCTCACCGCAACAGCCAACTCATTTCTGTCCCCTGGTTTCTGGTCCATTTTAACTCAGTATTTAAACCTGAATCCACCCCCTACAAACCAGACTTCTACTCCCATGCAGCAATTGGCGGAGACGGCACAGTTAGCAGCCCAGCTTGCAGCTTTAGTTGGATCACACAGTCCGGATCAAACACCTATGCAACCTGCTCAAGCATTAGCTCTAGCACAGTTTTTGATGAATCGAGTAAGGAGGTGGAGTTTTGAATTTTAACTTTGCATACTTTTAATGTTTATTTCTTTTCCAGTTTTATATGTTTCGGATACTTCTGCGACTTCTTTTTTATTGATTTACTTGGATTTCACTTCTGTTTCGTTGTAACTACGAGATTACAATGAAGTTTTTAGCCTACCAGTAATGGCGTTTAGCTCATATATAAATGTGTGCAATAATTACAGACTCATCTTTCTGTTTATAAATATCTTCATAGGTATTTCAGTGGTATTTGTTGATATGTAACAACTAAACATTGTTAAATGTTTGTTGTTTTGGTTAGATTTAGAAGTGCAATCTGATATAGCAATAAAATGAATTCTTAAACTTGTTACTTTCCTGGAGTCTTTTGATTTTATAAAGAAAATAAGCAAACTTTGTTATATGACCACAAACTGGGTATTCACAGTCAGTCAATTATACTCATAGATGGTAAAAAAATGACTGAATTATAATTTATTTTCAGATTCTAGTAATCTGTGTGATAAAAACGTAAAAGGCACTCTTTCCTTGTTTACTCTCGAGTTATTATGTTCTTTATTTTTTAGGGTGTTGGATTAGGGGTTGGTAACACAGCACCCAACTGTTCCAATATTGGTCCAAACAACTCAAGAAAAGATGAGTCTTTCGATGAAGTATCTAGTGCCAACTCATCTACTTTGAATAATTCAGGATCTTGTGGTGTAAACGAAAGACGCCAGGAATCACAGACACAATGGCCTACTCTTAGTTCTTCAGTGAATCGAAATTCATCTCATACTGGTGATGGGTGAGTGTGCTTAACTTCTTACACTTATATACTCAATTTGATATCACCAGATGTATTCATTTCCGGTTTGCAATACTTGATGTTTGTGTCTGCATACATTTATTCACTTGATTGGTGTTTGTTTGAATTTCATCTCATTTATTTCATCTTAAATTTAAATAAGAAATATTCTTTTCTCAGGCTACGGGTTTCATGTATGTAAACCTTGTTGGAAGTTGTAGTTACAAAAGTCAGCAAGGGTATGGAAACACAATTTGTACATGTATATTAGAAAAACATGTGTAATTATAATTGGCTTTCTTACTGGTTATGTTTCATGTGTCTGTTATACTACGACAGAAATGAATATAAATAGATAAACAAACAGACATTTTATCGATCTTAAAGCAACAAAAAACACACACACAAGCATTCCGGCTACTCAATGGAATTTCTCTTGGTGTCACTATGCTGAAACACGTGAGACGTGTAAGGGTTTTTGTTTGTAAGGTGAAATTTTGGCGATCAGTTGTATAAATGTACAAATAAAGCAGCGAAAAGTGTGTAAGTATTCTTTTCCATTTATTTTGTATATTTAAATTCTATAAGAAAACAATTATTAAATTAAGCAGGAGATAATTTTAGGCATAAATTAAATCCACTTGCTAAATATATTATATAGTAAGTATAGTGTGTAGTTTATTCTGTTATATAAAAATACCCAGTTATGGACAAATATACACTGTACATTGTTTTTGATCTGATATGCCTTAGTTTATTCTCCCTTTCAGGAGGTATAGTTCACAAAACAAAACATCAGACTTGTCATATGGAAAAAACTGTACGAACAGTTTACCAGAGAATTCATCTAATGTTAATTCAAATGTGCATGCTCACCGTTCAACGCATATAAATAAATCACAATCAACAGTTACAAAATCGTCAATTAGTCCTCGATCAACAAATGCTAAGTCTAAAAGTCTGTTAGATTCAAGTTCATCCGAGCCTGTGATGGTGACATCTCCAGATAAATCAAGTTCATTGGATAATGAATACAATCGAAGTCAGCAGAATGGTAGATCGACAAAGAACACTGAAGTTTCTTCTAATGTTTCTTCACGTGGCACTGAAGTGAAACAGAATTTAAATAATCTATCCCGAACTGGATCCACAACTCAAAGTAAAACAAAGGTTTGTAAAATAGCTGTAGATACACTATATTTCATTTTCTTTTCAATAAGGGCCTTCATGTTTACTCATCTCACACCTACCTTTATACCATTTTAATGATAGCAGTTTAACTCTTACGGGCATTTGCTCAATCTTGGTTATTAGGCACACGTATTTCTCAGAGTTGATTGCTTAGCGTGGCCATTTTAATGTCTAAAAAGCAATATGGGGCTTCGAGCGGTAACCCAATTTAAAGTCATGTACCAGACATAATGAGTTACAGTGCCATGGAAACTACATACTTAAGGCGACTAAACGAAAGCTTACGGTGATCAAGATGGATTTAAGTTCCTGTGTTGGGTTATGTGTGGTTTCAGTAAAAACCTGTTTTCACTATGCAACTTGAAGATTTAACTTTTGAGTAATGGATTCTCGCATACTTTACCAAAACTACAAAACATTATAGAGTTGCGATTGTGGTATCCAATATGCCAAGTTGCAGAGAAAAATGCTTCATGCTATGCAATATCTCAGACAACTACTGTTTATATAATTTACTTTGGTTTTCGGATGTATTTGCATTCGCGTCGTTCGACTCAGCTGCATCATGGCGTCTTTTGCTATATGTCTTAGAAGTTCCCTGAGGTTTTCACACCTAAAGTGATTATTCTTATGCAGCAAATTATGTGTGAACCACTAGCATAGTTTATGTTTTATTGTTATTTTTTTTTAAAATAAGGCTAAGCAAACATCTGGTGGACATTTGGAACGCGGACAAGTGTCAGACGCTCGTTTTGCACGTCTCGAATCTGATTCTGGACATTCATCAAATGCCACAGGAGTTAATAATGCAAGTGCAAACAACCAAAAATCACTGAATAATTCGGTTCGTCTCATTTTATAAACCTTTACGATGAATATTCTGTAGTTATTGTCTGCATACAACAAACCAGCTCTTCATTTTGTGAATCTTAAACCTACAGCTTAGATACTTGCACTGATTTACTGTCTATGAAATATATCACGCCAGATAAATAAGAATTGTATCAAAAAAAAACATTTTAGAGTAGTTATACTAGTATGTGGTGTGTACTACTGATAAGATTTGTCAGTAGTATATCAAGAGACGTTCACTGGCATAAAACATCTAAGAGCAGTTAGATGGATTTGATGTCATAGAAAACAAATGATACAGCGTTGCGGAGATAAATGGGAGACGTGAAAGAAACACACTTTGAAGACTAGAAGTGGCACAACACGGAAGATCTGTGCAAATGGTGCGTCGGAGTTTAGGTGTACATAATTTCGCAATATAGAGATACCAAATTCCGAATAAACATTATTTACCGCATCTCTCGTCTTCCACCGTTACAGTACTACATGAACTGATGATAAAATTCACCGTTGATTTTAGGCATGTGACCAGTAGTCAGCGTTCTAGAAATGTTAAAAATCAAGAGTTAAAAGCAGCATGCAACCGAATACGGTATTACAAAACTATTGTGTTTTGGACGTCTTTATAATTTTTAACATATTTTTTGAAAGCACTTTTTAGTTTCAGTTATCATCGTTATGTTCCTGGTTGTTTGTTTTTGTTCCATTGACTAATCTGACTACTTAAATCGATGCACTTTAGTGCAACGTTTTATTTTGGTCTATAGGTTCGACTGTTTGTTTGTCTTCTGTCGTCCATATAAAGTCGAGTGGATGACTAATGTGATGTAACTGCATATACTCCTATTTAAGTACGTGTTTAGGCTTGTTGTGCAAACTTGGGAATAAATTGTTAACTTGTTTATTGAGGAGTAAATTTTAAAAACATAGTTTTCCTCTTTTTTAATATCTTTAGGAGCTTGTTCTAAAATTTCACCTATCACCTACCTCTTACTCTAAATTTAATTGCAGTGTAGCTACTTACTTCACCCCTTAACATAGAGCGCTGTTGTAAGTTCTGGGAGAATTTGATTGTTTTACAAACCTGCTGCAATAATATGTTTGGTCTTGCCCTCGATAATTTACACAGCGGTTTGTATTTGACCCCTTCAGTTATTCTGAATAGCATATGAAAAGCTAAATGCTAAAAACTAGATGTCGAAAGTTTGATTCTTACAATAAACTCTCATTTTGTCAACCTCAGTGCATTGTCTTGTTGGTTTTCGCTCCTGACGGATACCTTAGTCGACTACTCACATTAACTTTATGAAAGTAGACAAATATATTTTATCTCATTCCTTTGCGTCCCAAGTGGAACGGATAGGGCTTCATGCTAGAGCTGGGAAGAATCAATAGCAGTGCTATTTGTTTACGGGATGAGGTTGCTAGCCTAATACCCAATCTTCCCTTTTTACTGGCCTTATTGATTACCGACTAAGCGAGGTCAAGGAGTGCGCCTGTCGGGGATCAAACCCTAGACCACTTGCGCTGTTGGCTGTTCTGTATGTATTCATGAATTTGTTGACTGTCAGACGTGGAAATAACGCAGTAAACCTTATGGGACGGTTTGAGGAAGTAATTCTGAGGATAAAAATAAACAATGTTCACATTCCTCTTAATGACGTAATGAATTGTGAATAGATAAAAATACTTCATGCATGCTAATATTTCATCGGTTTACTCTCAGTTTCATTCATTATATAATAAATTATTTTAATATTATTGTTATTGTTTTTCTAACTTTATATTTTGCTTTGTCGCCAATCACATTCCCTTTTAATACTTCATTTGCATTATCTAGATCGCTAAAGCAAACAATATTCGGTCACCTACAAAAGCAGTTATTCAGAACAACAATTCCCCATCGCCTCAGTCAAACACTAGCGGGAATCTTCGTTCATCTGAGACTACATTCTCATCAGTTGTATCGAATTCAGAAACAGATTCTGATCAGACAGTTGAAGAAGAACTTAAGAAGCTGACACAATGGTGTCAGTCAAGGCTTAGTTCAATGCCGATGCGTGAGAAAGTTGATATTCCAACGGTTGTTGAATTGTTGGCTACACTGGATGCTCCTTATGAAGTAAGATACAACTATACGTATTACATACTATACAAATTTTTCACTCTTGAAGTTGACAGTATCATGGATAATAGCTCATTCGAAATTTCTTGTGTCTAAATGCCTGAATACCTACTAGCATTCTAGATTTCTTAAATGTATATTGGATTTAAAAAAAAATTAAGTTTTATTCCTTTAAGTGTTTTATGAACTCGAGACTATAGTTTTTCATTAGCTCAATGTTTTGAGTTATCTGAGTCATCTCATTCACTTTCCGTTGTAATTCGTTTTAAGCTGTCAATTATTGAGTAATGTGAGTTATTGCTTAAATGCGTGCACCAGTTCTTGCACTATGTAGAAATGCTTTTTCTCCAGTGTTAACAGTCAAACGAAACCGTTACAAAGGCTGTATTGATTCAGTATTCAAGCGCTATGTATTGAGTTTCATACAATAAGCTCATCACTAATAATTCATATTACCTACCTCTAGATTAAATATCTTGGATAGATAATAGCTTAGATGATGATTTATGCTACTGCTTTTGAGAGTTTAAAGTCGTAGTGGATAAAGCAATACGATTAAAGATTTTTAACAATGCAATTCAAATATACTGTTTCATTTCGACACTATAGCGTACTCCAAATCTTTGTCAACCTCATTCAACAGCTATATGACAATGCTGTATGTCAGGTGATCCCCAACGGAGAACTCAGCAGTCTTTGAAGTGAATACGGGAGTAAGACAAGACAATCTATTATCTCCGATGATACTCCTAATTATGGTGGACCAGATTATGCGTCAGACTGTGCATAGGGGTAAGAAGACAGCAATATGTTGGACCGATGCGAAGACTCTAGGAGATCTGGACTTCGTGGACGACTTATGTATGATTTCACACAAACTCGTAGACTTACAAGTGTAAACCAACAAGTTGACAGAGGAGGCAGTTGGCAAAGACATGACTTCAAGTTAACATTGAGAAGGTGGAGGTGATGAAGATGACCAGCCAACCACAAGAAGTACCAATCACCAATCAACGGTAGTGATTTGGAAGAGGTGAACACTTCCTTCACTTGTCTGGGAAGCATTGTTTCAACCACAGTGGGAACAGATGAAGATGTCAAAACCAGAAGTGGGAAGGCGAAACAGACCTTCCTCGCTCTGAAATCAGTTTTAAAATCTCCCGTACTCAGTATAAAGAACAAAATTCTGATTTTCAACACAAATGGTACGTCAGTTAGTTCTTCTATATAAGTCAGAAACTTGCAAGAGGTTTCAGACTTTTATCAACACCTGTCTTCTCTGGCTCTATATTGAAGATCAAATAGGGGGTGAGAAGGAGTTAGCAACTAGAAACTCTGTGAAGGAGTCAACCAAGAACCTATTGCTCAAGGTATGTGTCGAAGAAAGTGGAGGTGGATGTGACATGCTGAAAAAAAAGCGGTCGAATGAAATCGCACTCCAGGTCATCGTTCGAGTGGAATCCGAGCAGAAAATGACAAGTTGAGCGTCTGAGATTGACATAGAGGAGATCGTGTGAGGGGAAGATTGAAAGCTTATGAACAATCTTGGGACCGGCTATGAACAGGACCGCAGGAAGCAGGACAAAGTTGAGGTGTGTTGTTGAAGCGTCCTATGTTCCACTCGGAACCCAGGGGAGCAATAATAAATGATTCATAATGTTTCATTTCTACAATAAAAATTAATTTTTTCATTGACATTATCGTCACTTTAGTCAAAAAATTATATTGCGATTTGCTAGGAAAACACCTAAAAATACAAACTTCAAGTCTATATTCTTACTGCAGTTTATACCCTAGTCAATTTGATTTTAGTAGACCATTTTTCAGCATTATCGATTAAATGATTAGTGCAATAATACTCTCTCGTTTATGATACTTAATATGAGCATTGCATGAATCGAAACATGTGGTTTGTTGTTTCAAATACCCAGCAGGGTGACACACTGCTCAGTGACATTTTCGTGCAGCAAAATATCTTACGAAATGTCTATCGATTGTATTTCAGTCTTTTCGAAATATGTATTTCCAACTGGTACATTTTATTTGTTAGTTGTGAGCACACTATGATTACAAAAACAATTAGGGAAAGTGTTACCTACCGTATATAAATGGCTTGTACTATTAAGAAATTTGAAATTAAGAAAGTCAGCTTGGTCTTGTCAAAGTTGACTGACTAATTGGTTTTGCAAACCTTAAGTTATCTTTGTTTTCTTCTTAGACTTATGTTATTTACTGCTCTGATTGAGAATAGCATGTTGAGCAATTTTTAGTAAATTGATGAAGTGTTTAAGATTTAATGAAAAAAAACCTTGTTTCCTGATTCCTTCTGTATCTTTTGCGCCATATCTCACACATCCTGTAGCACGTCTCAAAGTAATTTGGAGTAATTTCATAAACTGGCATAGCGTCTTTCTTTATTCATTTGAGTTTCTAAGCTGAATATGCTCCATTAACTGTTATACGTCATAATCAGCAGTCTTACACTGAACATACCTTTGTAGCGGTTCAGTATATGGTAGATTTTCTTCCCTTCGTAGAATTTTTTCCTCACATACTATAAAAGTTCGTTAGTTACAACTTTAAATTGATGTATTCGATCTCATGTGGCCCATTTGCAACAGTTACTTATCATAACTTCCATATTATGTCAGGATTTCAAAATCTGACCAATAGTGAAAGCTTTATTCCCATATCTATATCTGTATCTGAAGTTTTCCCGCATTTCATTGTAATTTATCGTTACAAAGCATTAGTTGGTCACTGATGGACTATGATTGTAAGGATCAGTGGTGTTGTTCATTAGTTATACTTAGTGTCAGTTATGGTGTTTTATCAACGTAGCATCTATTGAGAAATTTATGTATATATATAACAATGCACTGATGTTAAAACACTTGTATGTTTATTGAAGATAAATGACATATAATCGATAATTAATTATTCTTCTGTCGTACTCAACATTTATTGTCTCCCTTGGTTTTGTGTAGCGTTATTATGCAGCTGCCATTCAACCAGTGGTCCTCGTGTATCAAAATTATGCTATTCGTTATGCATAATCCCAACATTCCTATTTTTTATAAGAAATGACTGATTGATAGAGTCTTCCTTTTTTTTGTAAGATTAAACTAAAAGATATTGGGAATAGTAAGTGCATTTAAGTAATCTTTAATAGTTGAATGCCATTACCGTCTTTATTCCACAAAATAACTCTGAATATTTTTAGTAGTTGAATGATTTCTGACGTGTATTTGCACGTCCTGTCACACTGATTTGGTTGAGCAATTTGACTTTTACTTCAAATTTCAAAGGATAGGAGTATTTTACACTCAGTAGTATCACTGATCAGCATTCATTATAATTGGTGAGCTTAAGTATTCTGCAAAGTCCGCATAAAAGATTATCTAGATTCATTCATGGGATGTTTTATAAGCCCGTACATTCCCTAGGGTAATCAAATGCTCATTTTTTAAAAATCTAACTAGGTTGAACGAATGGTACAGACATTTTTGGGCGAAACAGCTCGCACAACTCAGTTTGTCAAAGATTTTCTTGATCGTCGTCGACCTTTTTGGCAGCTTCATAGAAAACGGCGTGAACAAGCTAGTAGTATGGAAGAATCTACGGGTCAGAATTCTACAAGTCAATGTGTCAGTACAGTTCGATCATCTGAGAAAAAGAAGCGTGCAAACCCAAATGATAGCAATACACAGCGCCAGAATTCCAACACTTGCAACGGTCTTAGTTGGACGAAATCAGATTCCGTCCACCCACCGAATGCTGAACAGATCCAGGATAATCAGGTTTGAGTTTTAAATGTGTGACTTTTCTAAGCGCCTTAGGTTATTAATATTTTACTGTTTTCCCCTGAATCGCATGGAAACCACATTCCATTTTTTATGACATTTGTAGCTATTGTATCTCGCAGACTAATACTTTCTTATAGTTAACATTTGTTACAGCATTTTATCTAACATTTAATTGATTTGTTGGTAGAAACACGATCACTCTTCACCCTTATGTCGACTAAGTTACAATCATTGAACTAGCCTGATATCATTTATGGCGTTTGTCTATTAATAACATAATAGTTTTAAGTAACGCCAAGGCATTGTATTGCTGTCAGTCTTGTGGATTAACGTAGAAAAGAAATTTTGTTCCTAAATGACATAATATTTCCTTCCATGTATAAAAATGTATACGTGTCGCTATTTTACTACTTGGATCTGACCAACCACAGTGTTCGCAGCATTTCGCACTTATTTGATTCCACTCCAACCATGTTGTGTAGTTTCTCACGGGGTAAGACTTTGCAAGGCTGTCCCTGAGATATCTTGTAACAGTAAGTTTGGCTATACTGACTCCATGAATTCACTTCATCATACGGAATTATTTGTTATTTATTTTATTCTTTTGCGTTCCCAGTGGGGTATAGGGCTCGAATATTTCACCTTTGAAGTTTCAGTAGCGGTAGTGTTATGCATTTTTGTTTTACGAGATAGGTTTGCAAGCCTTATGCCCAACCTTCCCTGTTTATGGGGCTCGCTATCGGCTAAGTGAGATAAAAGAGTGCACCAGCCGGGGATCGTACCCTAGACCACATTCGTGGTTGGTGAGTATTCTACGACCGAACAACCACTGACGCGCATCGTCGTGTAAAATCGTCTGTCATTTCTAATGACTGAAAATATTGCAGTATGGTTGGGAAATATCATATAAAATGCCCAACATTCTATTACTCCTGATACAAGCAATGTCATAGTGTAACAACAGAAGGCAAGGGCCAGGCAACAGATCGTTTATTGAGAAAATCAAGAAATATTTTTAGATTTTTATGCACATTATTGTCAGCGGAGAAGCAGCATCTTCTGATTGACTGTTCTCTTGCTGGAGGTTATTCTGCACTGCTTGTGACCTTTTCTTAGGAAGTTAAGCCATGTATCTGTGAATCGTATTTGCACACGCTAAGTCTGCTGTAATTGTTTGGTGAGTTCCTCAAGGTTAAGCTTTGTTATTGTTTTTTCTCATGACCCTGATTCGGGAAGTAACATTGACGTAAATTGCTGTCTACAATTTTGTCTTGCTTTCATCACAATAGTACTTATTAAATCACTTTAATAAGGAGTAGTTATTTCCTACATTTGGAATATTTTGCTGTTCATGGTTTTTTTTTCTTTGCATAAATGGAACAAACAGTCCTGGTTTTAATCGTAATCATTGTTTTCTAAAGTTTAAAAAATTAATGTAATTCCATATTTTAATTATCACACAGTGATGCAGTATTAACCACTGGATGACGTTTCCAGCATAAATTATTGCTCATTATCATATCAGTTTAGTTACACGTTTTCACAATTTGTCTTGTATATATTTTCTCTCTATTCTGTTTATCCAGCTTTCCTTTGTTGTTTGTTGCCACTTTCCGTATCTTCGGGATAGGCGATGCGCTGCGTCATTCTGATTGTACGTGTACGGTGTTGAACCGATAAACAAAGCTTCAGTGATTAACCTTTCTCTCCACCTAATTAATTAATACAGTTAGATGGAGAGAGAGGCTAATCACTGAAGCTTTGTTTATCGGTTCAACACCGTACACGTACAATCAGAATGATGCAGCGCATCGCCTATCCCGAATATACGGAAAATGGCAATAAACAACAAAGGAAAGTTGGAAAGAGAGAATTTCTACACTTACATATATAATTGAAATAAACTTATCTAATATGGAAATCGTTTAAGTATTACATAGTATGCACGGGAAATCTAACCATCTATCAAATGGATAGCTTGCTATTGTTGTAAAGAGCTGTTTCCGTTGCAAACTGAGAAGACCCTTTTCAATAGGTGTTATCCCCATTGTAAGTCTTTTTGTTCAGCTATTGTCTATTTATTATTGGTATTATTACTGCCAATTATTATTAGTAGTAGTATTATTTACTTATGGTTACATGATCTAATTCTTCTTGTCTATCTTTCCTTCATTCATTCATTCAGTGGCATCATATCAAACCTAAAGGAAGTCATAATCGTAAAAGCAAAAAAGATAAATCGACATAAAAAAAATAGAGAGAATCTTGTGCATCACTTGTTTCCCGTTAATTCTTTCAGTACACAATCAAAGCAATCCCTAAGTTCTTTCGTTTCACAATTGCTTTTATTACCTTGTTCTTTATTATTATTTTCTCTCGTTTTGTTTTCTTTTCTATTCAAAACTGTGTAGGTGTAAATTGTTTAACTTTTTTTTCTCTTGAAATTCTGATCGATCTCAGTGTGTTATGCTTTCTATACATACACATACTTGTCTCATTTTGAAATTGCTTCTGATAATCGTGATCTAACGGCGGTTTGTTTTTTTTTAGAAGAAAAAAAATAAGAAAACGAAACATCGTCGTGATATTGCAGTCTTTTGAAGTTGATGATTGTAATTTCTCCTATTTTTTAGGTGACGAATTTATGACCTTGACTTTCAATGCTTAAGGTTTCTTGTGTGTGTGTGTGTGCAGGTATTCTGCGCATTATCGTTTATTTGACAGATGAATATGTATAATGTATATATCTATCTATCTATCGAATTTAATCTAACCGAATCCAATCTATCTATATCTATCTTACAGTGATGGTTGCAATGCGAACTTATTTTCAAATTTCTCGTTTTTTTCCTTTGAATCAATATATTGCTATATATTCTTATTAATTAAAATAATAATAATAATTACAATTACAATTATAATTTATTATTATGTGTCATGTTAATAATAAGGTATCAGAGTTATCAAATTATCCTTTTCTTTCGTTTTTTCAACATGTGAGAAGTAACACACACACACATGTGCAATTTCATACCTACATATATATACACATTTATAAATAGCAATAGTTACAATAGTTAAAGAGAAATATGTATTATATTACATGCAGTCAGCCAGTTATTTTAGGCGATTTGCGAATAATGGTATAACATTTAAATGTGGTACAACAGTTTTTGTTTTTCAAGTGTTGGTTTGCAGGGATTCTATTTGTTTCAGATTAGACAATGGATTGATATCAGTTAGAGAACTATTGGAAAACCAGTAGTAGGGAGTACTGGACAGCTGTTGCGTCAGCCTAGTTTGGGACTCTTCATCAGTACGCACCCAACGTGGTTCGAACCCAGGACCTTCTGGTTACAAAGCTAGCGAATTCGTAGACCATTCAGTCACTGGGACCCAATCCAATAGCCCGTCCATGAATTCCAACTTCTGCTAATGCATGATATGGTGCAACCACTAGCGAATGTCATCGCTGGCGAGTATTTGCTGTCACACCTGACTGGTCGCGACCACCCAGTAGAACCCAGGTAACTACCTACCTGAATAGGAGCAGTCACTAAGTGAGCATCAGACTGATATGAATGAGTGACTAAAACAATATTTTTACTTTACTAGATGCTAGATATTATGAGGTTTCGTCCATTAACCGTGATGACACTATCTGTAAAAGTGCAATTAAATCCTCAGATAGCACTATAGATAAATAAATATCTTGTCAATGTATTAATTTACAAAATATCTTGTCAGATAGATACATATATATACACACAGTGTTTTACTTTTTTTAAAGAATTACGAATAATGATATATCATGTGGTATACTTCCGAGAAAACAGTTCACCTTTTGTTATTGTTCGAATGAAGATCAACAATGCGTTATTTGCTGAACGTACTGAAAGATTCTTTAAGATGTTATTAGAGGTATATTGTTTCACAAGGTGTAATTAAGTTCCTAATGTATGCATTTATCAATTAGGTTTTTAGGTAAGAAGTATTGTTTCAGTATAACAAGCGATTTCGGAGTTGTCGAGTCGTCACTTCAGATGTAGATGTAGATTTTGGAAAAGTTACTGGTGGATAGACCGAAAACACGGTATGGGGCAATGAATAAATCATCAGTCTGTGGTCTGAGTTGCATGCAGATTGCCTTGAATGGCGTTATCAGTTAGCTAAGTGTCATAAGTTGAAAAAGGCTTTTATATTGTTCACAGTATGACGCACTTTGAAAAGATTCGCTAATTTTCATTGGATTATTCCTTTTGTTGCAACTGTTTATTCTCGTATATTGTACATGAATTGACAGAAGTTAGAATTTCATGAGTCATTGGATACCTTCTTAGTGGCTGAATGGTCGACGAACCCGTCCTGTAACTTGGAGGTTCTGGGTTTGATCCGTGGTGGGTTATGGTTCGTACTGATGATGAGTTCCAGACGGAGAGGGAACAGTTGTCCAGCACTCCATGTTTTTCAATAGTTCTTTAGCTGAAGTCAGTTCGTGATCAATGCTGAAATTATAGGCTTTTCCGGAGTGTGACAGCTTGAATTGATGTATTTCTGGATTCAATTGCACGTTGGTCCCTCAGGGTGATGAATTTTCTTTTAGATATTATATTGACTATTTTGACCAAAACTGTCGTTTATGTAGTTCAGCATTTTATGAATTCACCTGATTGAATTGATATTATGACCTTGTTGCGTACTAAGTAGTGCTGTTAAATTGCTTCATTTTTCAATGTTATTTCTCATCTTTACTTTGATCCTTTGCTAATTAATGTTCAGGATTTCTCAACTTTTATTTAGTTTGTGAATACTAAACGTCTTAGGTATTGGACAACGTTTAGTAGTAATGACTATTCTGTCGGATTGGGGTGTAGAAGGCAGTCTAAACTAGTATTTTAAAATTTGTGGTAACGTGGCTCATTTAATTTACATCCTAGCAACTGGTACTTCTGAGTGTCTTCTTGGTTTCATATATTGAGGTCTATCCTTCATCAACAACTAACTACTATTTATCATCGGATATTTTGTTGATCTCACTTTTGGACCATTTGCAGCATGTCAAGTTTTCTGTCAACCCGTTTATTTCCCTCGAAATTGACTGTTCTGCATCTTTACGTACTATTACGAATGCGTATCACTACTATTTGTACGTTGCTATTACCACATTTTGTGGGAAATATAGTTCTGCTTATTGTTGAACTGAATTATCAGTTTGACAACTTAGTCCTCATATAAATAATGGTATAATTTTGTATAATAAACACTTTATTTTATCTCCCATTGGCTTTACACACGAATTGAAAGACCAGAGTTTTTTACTATCTTGATTGATGATATATGGTATTTTTATCAGACTGACTCACTTGAATCATAGATTACGAAACTAATGGATATAAAGCAAGTATGTGGTGTGATATTTCTGAAAGACTGTTCTTATTTTTTATTGGATGTATAAATAATCATTCATTAGGTATGATTACTCTTTATCCATATTTTTCTAATAGTAGTTTTTTTCTGTTCCTGATCTGCAAGGGTTGGGGGTACCCTTCTTTATTCTTTTTGGTTCGTTGCGAATATAAAGAAACGAGAAACCTCTGTTATTTCATCAAAGCAGAAATTTTCAGTTAACTTGGTTGCATTTACACTCGACAAACCGTGACACCAAACCAACAAACCACTGGGTCTCCGTCTGGTTTCGTCTTCATGGAATGAAATCGCTACGTTGCCTGCTTTCCGTCCACCGGGCTGTCGACTTCGCCGTCGGTCGTTCTACCAGTGTCTGCCGAGTCCTCTTCACCCCGTGCCATCGTGAGCAGCATCCTCCTGACTTCAGCAGCATCTACACCACAATCACGATCGGATTCTTGATGCCAGCTCGGAAACGGCTTCTAAATCTCACGGGGAGCTCTGGATATCTCCCTCTTCGAAATCTTCAGGTCATGGGACCTTTCATCCGGTTAAAGAAAGTGACGAAAGAATACGGTGTTATTTGGTAGCTAAACTGTTTACTTGGCAGCAATCTGGCATACGGTGATGACAAAATATGAAATCTTTGCGTCGACATTTCAGTTCGCTAAAAGTATTCATGTTCTGCTTCTTTTGTGTTCACTCCATGCTTCCTACACTGCTTCACAACTATCCGTGTTTCTCTTTTTGGCCAACTAACCCATTTCTCTTACAGAAGTCATCACTAATATACTACTTACAGGTTGTTGCCATGATCACACACCATACTAATACCGCTAAACATGAGTGTTGAAGTGTAACACCTCTTTCATCTGCCTACTGGTGGATTTCTTTATGACCAGGCTAAACATAACGTGAGAGCTTCAGTGTGTATAAAAGTCACGTAGATGATGCATTCATCATGTGTTATAGATTGCTGTTGCAATCATACTGATGGAAATCAGTAACTGTCATTTATCAATCAAGTTGAAGTCAGAATATAGGGCCAAATCTAATTTTCATTTCTTGAAAAAGATGTGAGGATTTTCCGCATAGAAACGGAATCGATTTTAGATTCTGAGATTTATTAGGTTATCTTTTGACAGTCTGATTAGTGCATGTGATCTTAATGACACGTTTTTACTTGCCTGGAGAATTTATTTCAACTATTAGATTCAGCGTGTGACGTTTCAGGGGACAATTCCGGTGAATATGGTTACTCAGTAGACATTTCAGATAAGGTTTAAGATATTCTATCGTATATATACAGCTCTTTAGGCGACTAGTTGTAGTGCTCATTACAGCAAGTTTGTCAGAAAAATTCAAGACATATCCATGCTATTCCACTATCACGGGATTGTTATTGTTCTTTTAAAGTTCGATAATATCCGTCGACAGAATATCGATATAGAGTGGTCAGTACACGAGTTTTCATAATTGGATCCTTTGGAGGAGAAAGAGGAGCATAGTTCATTCGCTATTTTCAAGAATATGAAAGATCTGTACTGATGATGCAATCGACGATGATATGAAAACACTACTACAAGTGCTCATACGAAATGGATACCCTTCAAGATTCACCGGTGAAAATGTGAATAAAACTATGGTCCGAAGAAAAATCTATATTCTTTCGAAGAAGTCGTTGTTTATTTATGTTGAGCACAACTCAGTAATGTAGCTGAAATTGTGAAGAACTGCCTCTGCAGACCGTTTCTTTAATCAGCAAACCATTGGCGAATGTGGGAAAGACCAATTGGAGACGCTGGCCACTAACAGTGTTTTTCGACAAATCTACTTACTCCTGTTGGCCAGACAAAACGTGCACTTTTCAAAAGCACTTCGGAAAAGTATGCAACATAGCTATCGAGAAGTCAGTGACTGGCTCAATTCTCAAGCATCTTGTAAAATTTCACTTCTGATTTGATTGTTTTTACCAAAAACCATTTGGATTCATCTTTGGTTAGTCAATCACAGAATTTACATGGACAATAATTGTGATTATCGTTGAAGAAAAAAATCATGATTAGTATTTTTCTGAGGAGATGAATAAAGTTGATTGTCGCATAGACTCTAACTACTATTATGGTCACTGTTTATGAAACAGAAGAAAACTTGTATGAACACGAAAATTTGTCCGCTGAATTAACATCAGTCGGTCTTTAAGTGTGTGTGTGTGTGCAAATGACATGCAGTACTTCGAGTGATGTTTTGGTATCTCACGACTGAATGCGAAATTTTCACGATTTACTTCAAAATATCTATAGTTTTTACATTAGCTAGGTAAGTTCATCCTTTTTTATTCGAAGTACACAATATGCATTAAACATCAAACTTTGCTCCTTTTGACTTAAGAATCACATTTTATTTGATGTATTTTGTGACAAGAACCGGCTGAAATTTAATGTTGATTCATTGACTAAGTATTTCAAAGTTGAATTGTCTTTTTTAAATGCGGTGTTACCATTTCAGCGACTGACTTCGTTATGTTCACGTCATACTCGTTATATGAACAAATTACTGTAAGTATAGAGGAAGTGCGACCTACTTGATCGTTGAGTTGTAATAGTTTAACCTTTATTATTATTATGATTGTTCCCTTGGGTTCCTAGTGGAACATAGAGCTTCAACTGCAAGCCTCCACTTGCTTCTGTCTTCTGCTGTACTTTTCACCTGCATCCATGTTAGTCCATACTGTTTCAACTCCTCTTCACGTGATCTCCTCCATGTCACCCTTGGAGGTCCCACTCGCCGCTTCCCTTTCGGGTTCCACTCGAGCACTGGCCTGACGCGCGATGTCACCCAGCTGCTTCCTCAGCGAGTGTCCAATCCATCTCCA